AGGTAAGTTGTTTTTCAAGGTGCTAAGAGTTATTTATAATTAGAGATTCCTTGACCTTGACTCCAGTGATGATACTTGCCTCTTTCTTCACTTCCAGCTCACTGTTCCTTGTAACTTGCTCTTTAGGTCCAGCTATGTTTGACAATGTATTTCTGCATAAGTCCAATGAAAAGTTGCTTGTTTCTTTTAAAAGTAATAATAATAATAATAATTATAATTATAAACCTCCCAATTCTGCCCTGCTTTACCTGTTTTAGTACAGAAGCCTGCAAGTGTTGTCTTTATAAAACACTAATATATCTGTGTTTTATAGGGAGGGGAACAGTAACAAAAGGAGTGTAATAAGAGTATTACTCCTGTGACTCATAGGGGTTGTGGCAGCTCACACTTTATCTAGACATGTGCTACTAATGTCCATCAGGACTGAAAGGAACTTTTTGGTGACTTAATTATACATCATTAACTCAAACTACTGTTAGCTCTGTTCAGAGCTAACCCTGCACAGAGCAGAGTTGGTACGCTCATGCATGTGACCTTGCATAACCAAGCTCATTAAGACAAAAGCAGGTAGAGATGATTTCCCTTCCGTAAGTTATATGGGATGAACAGAGAAGGTGAATTAAAGTGTATTTGCTGGTACATTTCCAAAGCAATCCATCTGGGAGTGGGTAAAGTCATAGGCAGTGTGCTCAGGGTTAATACAGCTGAATCAGCTTAGAGCCCACCGCCTGAGCTGTGATCGGAGCTCTCCGCTATTGGCTGAGAGCAGGGGAGGGAGGCAAAGGAAGAAAATCCACCGCTTAATTTAGGCAGTGACGAATGGGTTGCTGTGCAGGATGTTTCACTCCTGGATGTCTGGGGTGATGCAGATGCTAAAAAGGGAAATGCATTTTCTCATTGTATCTTTACAAGCAAGATGTCATGGGTAGCAGCTGACCCTGGCCTATGTCTTTTAATGAGGCTGCTTAAGGTGCTTGGGGGGATGAGGGTCTTTATCATATATAATATTATAGTGCTGTGCTACTTTCCCTTGTCTTGTCCCCCCACTTTTCCATGCTTTTGGACTGGCTGACTCCATCACAGCCCTTTTGTCCAGGAATTGGCATTTGCTTTTGAATCTGGGCACATCAAATATGATACCTTTCTGGGCTATTTTATTTCAGATCTGTAATTTAAATATGTTAGAATATATCTTCAGATTGAGCAGGCCTAGCCAGAGTACGTGAAAGACACAACAGGTATGTTTAAGCATCTCTGGCAGAGAGTCGCTTAAGCTTTTGCTTGGCTAAAAATGGTGCTGTCAGCTAATGCTGCTGTGAGGAGAGAGTGAATTCAATTTTTATATACGATGTCTGAGCAAATAGCCATTGTTTGTGGAGGCTGCAGCTGCTGGTGTCGCAGGCAGTCCAGGGAGGCTGCACCCGATTTGGGTAACAATGTGTCCAGTGCTCTCAGATACAATCTTTTTTTTTCCCTGCTTAGGGTGGATTTCAGGGAATACATTGTTTTGCTGACATTCCTGTAACTTTCTTCTCGTTGGGTCCTTACTGAAGGTATACTGAAGTGCTTTTACTGAGAAATGGCTGTTATGCAGCTGAAGATTCTGGTCCTGGACACAACACATGAACATGTGTTACTTTCCATTTCTGATGAGAATTAGTACCATGGAATGTCTAGTCTAAACTCTTCCTTCAGTTCAAACATAATTCCACCAAGTGTTTTTTTGTGATATGCTTTCCTTTAGATCTGAAGCTCATTAGGAACTGTACTGATCACTCTGCATTTTAACCAGTACACTGCACTTTCCTCCTCCTCCTCTTCATTATCCTGGCACAGCTGAGTATGTGGATGTGTAAGGAATGGGAGTAAGGAAGAATCCAGGTTATATGACAAAGAGAAAGCACAAGAAAGCTTAAGGTCAAGGGGCATAGTCTGTTAGACCCAGGTATGAAGCCAGGGAGAACCATGGTGGGAATCATTGCACAAATTTTGGGAAGGGTTTTCAGATCTTTTAGTACAAGTCTGCTCTGGTGCATGGTTGTGGACCACTAGTCTTAACTCATGGGCCTTTTATTTGCAGCATGTGCTGGTTATAGGTTAGGCTGGTGCAGATTGTGCTTTTACGTGATACTGAAATCCTGCCTGCATATGCTGTGTGCTGATGACATTCAGCCAAAGGCTTTAATGTGCCTCATGCAGGCCTGAGATCATAAATGGCTTTTATTTGTAGAATTTGGATGAACAAATGGTCTTTTCTTAGCCCAGCCCAGTCTTATTTGCTTTCTATTTTAGGAGATAATGATAACTGCTAGCTTTTCATGTATATACCCAACTGTTTTGCCAGAGTTAAAATCAGCTTTAGTTAAAAGCCATCTCAGCCTAATAAGACAGTACTGAGTTATTAGTTTACTTTGATTCTAGACATTCAGCATATCTGTGATATTAGTAGAATGGAAATAATATTAATTCACTCTTTCTAAACACTTCAAGGAACCCATAAAGAGTAAGTAAATGTCATTGTTGCTATAGAATAATAAAAGCATGTTAATAACACCTTGTATCACACATGAGCACAAGACTAAGTGCGACAACACTGCCTTTGGCTATCAAAGATGCAATTAAATGGGTAAAGCTCCTTCATGTATCCCTACTTCCTCCATGTAACTGGTTTTGGCACTAGTAAAGATATTTTGCTATCTATAGGTATTTTGCTATCTATACCTAGTAAATATGCTAGGTAGACCTTTTGTGTAAAGCAATTTTTCTATTCTGACTGCTTCAGAAATTCAGTTAGAAGCCAAATGAAGTGCTTTAAAAATGTCTTTCTTGGTTCCGTATCTGAGAAGTTTCAGTTTCACAGAGGCTTCTTGGATAAAGCTGAAAAAAGCATGGATAATACAGCAGATTTTTTTGAGGGATTAATGTAGCAGGGAATGTATCCTCACAGTTTGGCAGGACACCAGGTCAGGAATGTGGAAGCTGGCACGCTAGGGAGAAGCAGTAGTGCTAGGAAGCTGAGAAATGGGTGCTGTTTAAAACTGGAGTTCAGCACCCACTGAGACTGGAGGAAAGATCTCATTTGTTGTCACAATTAGAAGGAAAATTGCATGGTTTCAGATTTAGCATAAGAAAACATAGGCTGGAAGGGACCTCAAGAGATGATGTAGTATCCATCAAAAATGAAAGGCAAGATCAGCTTACCAAAGCCTTCTTGATAGATGTTTACTTGTCCTCTCCTCAGCACCATGATGGAAATTCCAGAGCTTCCCTTGGTTACCTATTCCAGCCTTTGCTGTCATTACAAGTAGCGTGGAGCCTTGAGTTGGCACAGAAGATCAGGGGGATCCATTACGTGGTGTCAGTCCTTGTCATTTCATGATTTCAATTTGTAACATTTGTCCTCTCGAGCAAAGTCCTGGTATTAGGACGTCAGGCTTGTTTTTCAAGTCCAAGTCATGTCAGCAGCCTGTGACTTGCATTTTATCACAAGATACCATGGTGCTTAGTCCCCTTGTGGTTTTTTTAAGGGTTCTGAGAACAACATCACTGGCAGAAAGAGGGACATGCTGCAAATGGTGGCCTGAATAGCAAAAAATACACAGCATATATTTGGGGTTTTCTTGGCCCATTATCCAGCAAACAGAAGCCAGGCCCTTCAGTGTCAAAAGCAGTGACTCTCCTCTTATTATCAGTTGTGATAATAAACTTGGGCTCACCCTTTTGCAAGGCATGGTGTTCCCTGGGCTGTAAACCCATGAGGAGGTGAAAGATTTCAGGCTGTACCTGTTCAGTCAGCTTGAGCAGTGCAGCCAGGATGATCTTTTCCCTGGTGCCTGGGCTTTAACTGCTCTGTTCTGCTTGGTCTCCATTTGCAGCTGTTTGATGTTTCAGGCATGTGGCAAGGATGTTACATTCACCAAAGGAACACTGAATTTGGGGGTAATAAAATATGAAAAATCCTTTGTTCCAGGCTATCTCCACTGTGGCTTCCATGCGTGCCCCAGCTGATGGGCATTCCCTTTCTGCTTCAGTGGTGTTCCAGGCCTTCCCTTCCCTCTGTCCCCTGGGGACAGGCTGGGCACAGAAGCTGTAGCACTGCCCTTGCAGTTCAGTGTTGCCTGCCACATCAGCCTCGTCAGATCTTACCAGGTGCTGAATTGCCTCTTACCAGGAAACCTCTTTGAGTATTTTATGTTTGAATGGAAAGAAATGGGAACTTGAGGCTGAGCCAAAGATTTCTGGTGTGACATGAGACATTGTGGCATCCTCTGGGACAGAGGGCATTCAGTGCTCCTGGCTTCAGGTTTGCTTTCTGCCATCAAAGAGTCTTTCAGAATCGCAGTGAAAAGTGAGTGTCGACTACCAAGGTGATACGAAAATCCCTGAGCGAGTGTCCTTATGCCGATGAGAGACCATAAGAACTAGTTTCCCACACCTGCAGGTGGAAGACAATATGTCCTGCCGTGCAGCCATCACTGCTGTCATGCTGCTGTCACCCTTGCCTTGAGCCCTCCCGGAAAAAAGGTTTCTCCTCTCTTCCTGGCCGCGATGTGCCACCGCCCCTGAGCGGGGTGGACACACTGGGCTTTGCTGCCACCCACCGGGGAAGAGCAGCATCCTCATGATGCTCACTCAGGCCTCCTGTAAGCAGTTAGTATCTTGCTAAAAGCAAGAAGGAACACTGATTGCTCTAGAAGACAGGAACTTTTTGTAGTTCGTTCCTAACAAGATCTGAAGTTTGTACAGAGCTTGCCTGGCAGTGTTTGAATCATAAACAGCATGAAAAACTTGAGAGGTACTTTCCCTCTTACATTGAGTATGCCTGTAATGACAAAGATTAAATCTTTGTACCAAACTGGGAAGTGTTTGAGGAAAGGAAGATGTACCTTTGCATTGCTGTGTAATTCTCCCCTTTGGTTATCGAGTGTTGCAATTGGTGTGTGGTTCATGAGGGTTAATGAACCAAGAAACCGACAACAAATGCATTTGTTTATTTGCAGATTGTGCTGGCTGTGGAAGAGACATAAAAAATGGACAAGCATTGCTAGCTCTGGATAAGCAGTGGCACCTGGGGTGCTTTAAATGCAAGGCCTGCGGGAAGGTCCTAACCGGGGAATACATCAGCAAGTAAGTAACCTTTGCATCTCTTCTGCACGCTTAGCATGAGTTTTTGTTGCCACTAGAGAAGAGCTTGCAGCGAAGTTCACCTTTTGAAGTCCAGTTTTGACCACCTTTGCTGACACACCAAAATCTTCGTTCCCAGTGAGAGCTGAGTTGGGAGAGGAAAGTAAACTGCAAAATGCAACTGAAAGGTGGTGTTTAATGATAGTAGTCTATATTTAATACCAATGCGGAAGGAGGGGTGTATCTCTATGTTCCCAAAAAGGATTGGGTCAATTCCTGCATGTGTTTTCTGTGTTAGCCAGATAAAGCTTTGTGTCACTTTGCTTTCTAACATGTGATTTTGAGGAAAAAAAGGCAGGAACCTGTCCATTGCTTGCCTTTGCTAGAGAACAGATTAAACATGATGATCTGATTGACCTGACACTGTTTCTCATCTTCATATAAGAAACTAATCAAGAAGGTTTTGAGTGGAAGGAAGTGTAGAGGAAAAGAATGGGGAAAAGTAGTGTAATGATAAAATAGAGAGAACAAATTTACAGTTTATGTTCCCCCCTTCAAGCATAGAACAAAGAGAAAAAAATAGGGAAAGAATGTATGCTTGACAAACCTGTCATTAAGGGGTGTATAATATTTAATAAAAAGTAGCATCTGTAATTTCTCAAAAGAAGTTCAGTGCCTGAGAAATACTCCTAAACTGACTAGTATTGCCACTTTTACTATATGTTCCTTATTTGTACTAAAAAACTGCATAACCTTACACCTAAAAATAACTGGTTATGCTCTTGCAGACTACCAAGGATTTTTTTGCTGAAGCGAACAGTAACTACCTGCCTATGATAAAGACTGATTTCCTCTCATTCCTATGGACATAGTTCCACTGATTCCCTAGAACTGCACCACCTGTAGGTGTAGAGAGTCAGTTCTAAATAATGAGATTTACTTAAATGGTTTGTACTAGATGACTTTTCTTGATAGGAATTTAAGGAATAATTCTAAGAGTCACTAGTGAGGACATGATTTCTTTTTGTCTACTACAAAATATTTCCCTTAACTTGTCTCCCCTTTGCTTATTGCTGTGTATAGGAGTTCCAGACTGAAGACAAGGGAATAGTGTAAGGCATGCTGTACCCTGTTTATTGAAAGTGGTTTGCAATTTGTGGATTTCTTTTTTTCAGAGATGGTGCTCCTTATTGTGAAAAGGACTATCAAGTTCTTTTTGGAGTCAAATGTGAAGCATGTCACCAGTTCATTACTGGGAAGGTCCTAGAGGTAGGTGTTTTGTAAACTAGAGATTAAGAATTGGGCCATGTCCTAATATGTCCTCATGCAACTGCAGAGAATACAAAATTATTGTAGGAAAGTATGGCTTGACTCCAGCTTTAGTGATTTTTAATACTCCACATTTTCTGGGAAAAAAAGCTTTTACATAATCAAGTTTATGGACAAAATGGGAAACCACGAAGAACTTCAGTTACAGGTGTATTTTGTGAAGAAAAAACTGCATGCACCATGTGTTTTACAGCGAATAACAGAAAATAAACCTGAAAGTGTTACAGAAATAAAAGCAGCTGAGATTTGCTAGTGAATGTCTATTATAGGTTCTCCTCTTTGTGACCTATCTACTAGAGATATAAGACTGTGACAGTCCTCATATGAGAAGTTTCATACTTGACATAAAGTGATAACAGCTTGTGGTTTTCGTTTTGGAGGTTTCTCTGGTTCGGAACTCAGAATATTAACTAGGATGGTAGCCACCAAATGACGGACTCGGGACACGTGTGGACATGCAGTGCATTTGTCACTGCATCTACTAGGAGGAAGTACAGTTTTTTAATTAGCCAGGCTCTTAGTCTGTCTCCTTTGCGATGTGTATCTAATTCCTCTGGAGACCCGCATAGATGATTAGGGAGAACAGTCTGAGTTTTCCCTTGAGTAGGAAAGCTGTGTCTCTGGCTTTAATCTAGTGGTCTGCTACCATATGCTTATCTGTTCCCATCTACTGATGAGTTTTTCAATTTAGTACTATGTATTGGTGACACCAGAGCTGCATTCCAGTGCAGGAAGCACTACAGGAGAGAAGTAATTGGATTTGTGAGATTGGGAAGCATAAAATATTTCTAAAATCATTTTAAATGCACATGATAGGTGCTCTAACCAAGCAATGGAACCTATTCAGAGGTTTGGAGATAAAAATGATAAAAGAGAAGGTTATTTGAGTCTGTGGAGAGCTGGGAAGAAATAAGCTATTCCTATTTGGAACCTTTTGTGGATATGAATATAGCAAGGTGGTTATTCTCTTACTCTTCCTAACATCAGTGAGAAAGAAATCTAGATTTTTGAGAGGATCATGAGCTGTATCCTTTCAAAACTGAGTAAATTGAGACTAAGGAAAGATTAGTTTAACTGAACTAGGATTTAGTTGTTCATCACAGTCTAAGCTAAAATTCAAATTATCAGAGACATTGTGTCCCAGCCAGAACCTTTATGAAGTCATTTTGGCCCCAGGGTTGATTTCTCACACATAATTATGAATCTTCTTATGGCTATTTATTCTCAGAAGAAGATACAGCATTTTGCTGAAGCAATGGAACATGTCCAACCTCTTGCAAGGATTCACCTCTTCTAAGTCAAAATCAGATAAAAAAGATGAAGATTCTTCCATTTGACCTAGTCCCTGCAGAATCATGGGGCTGAATTAGAAATAGACCCTTTGAATGATCTTATCAATACATGGAAATATTAAGCATGCTAAATTCTGGGTAAAACTAGAAATTTTGCTTGAGTATTTGTGGCTCTCCTTGATTATCAGAGGTGCAACCCATAATAATACAGTAGAGGGCAGCAGTAGTTCTCAATATGTAACTAAGACCAAACTCCTCTAAAGCCTGTAGAAGTTGAATTATTCATATAGTGCAACTCTTGAAGGCTGACTGCTATCTGAAGGGTGCAGATTGGACAAGACCTTAGAAACTTTCACCAAAAAATTAGTGCTGTGTAATCAGGGAGATCATCTGGTCCATGAGTAGAGTTCTCCAGGTATCATCTGGGAAAGCAGACGTAGGAGAGACTTTCAAGCATTTTCTGTCATTAAGTGGTGTTTGAAAAGATAAGATACAGGTGAGAAGCTAACATGCAATAATCAAAGCAATTTCTCAGAACTGCAGGCTGGTTTCTTAGCTCGTCCTAGAAACCTTTCACACTGTCAGAGGTGCACAGTTCCAAAGGGGTAGTACTAATGACTCTAAATTAGACTAAAGTAACTAATAAGTCAAAACGTAGGATGGGCAAATCATGTGTTAGCACGTATGTCCCCTATGGCTGAAAAAGTAGTCTAAAGGATGGGGTCAGAACATGACATAAATCCTCTGGTAGTAACAGAGATGAGAGATCGGAGGCAGCCACAGATGATAATGCACAGAACAGGATGCCACAGTTCAGGGAGGGCTGCAGACCTATTTAAGGCAGGACAATTAAGAATTCCCTTATCCTGTACAGGAAACCACCCACAACCTTTCAGTACACCTGAAGTTTTAATTTAGATCAAGCTTGAGATTCTCACAGGAGGGTTACTGTCTTCTCTCTTTGTTTTCTTTGGCAAATTCAGGTATTTTTGATGATTTATATCATGTGGGTTGTCTCTTGTCCTTCTGCCTCCCTTCAGAAGGAAACCATATTCTTGGTGTGAAGTAGCACAATCATAGGAACTGTCTAGGTAGAGGTTATGGCATCACTGACCAGCCCAAGTTATACCTACTAATGTCCAGTGGGAAAAAACCCAAAACACTTTGTATTTTGCCTTTGTTAATAAAACTGGTAGTAAATTCACTGATCAGTATCTTTCATTTTAGTTGTCAATAAAACAATTTGTTCTGTCAGGAACAGAGTGTACTATTTCATCATCTTCATCTAAAGAAATTATTAGAAGAGATTGGATGGAAGTATATAGTGCATTGATACAAACACTTCCCTCTAATGGATTAGAAGAGATTAGCAGCATGCCACATTGCTGCTTTATTTTCTGCTTCTTCTTACTACATCTGGGACAGTCTATGGAAAAACTGAAAAAATTATGGGAAACGAAAGCATAAAACTTAGCTTTGGGCCCACAGAGGCTCATGGTATCTATTTTTGCAGTAAAAGATTAATATTTTTTTTATTTAAAGAGAAACTACCATTCTTTGCAACGTTGCAGTCTTACAGCTCCTGCTTGGTTTTGTCCCTCAGTATGGCTTAGCACTTCTGAAAAGTCAGGCTTTCAGTCTTCTACAGTGAGCAGCCAGCAAGAGAAACAACCACTCCTGATGTGGACCTAGGAGTCTTCATCTCAGAAGCAGCTATGCCTTGTTCCTGGTAGGCACCCTCAGCAGAGGCTGTCAGAAAGCCAAGTTTTGAGTTCACACCTTGATACTCAAACCTTGAGAGGATGGGTTCCCTCCAGCCATTCTGTAGAAATGATCCCTCTGCTCAGTTAAGAAATGCGTTACTAGAAAAACAGTACTTATTTTGCCAATATTCACATACCGTGGAAGAATGTTCTTTTTTCTAGGCCATAAATCTAGCAAATTTGAATAGCCATGAAAATATGCAAGAAAAATACCTTGTGCATTTAAGTCAGCTCAGAAATTTCTCATGTATTATTTGGCACATAACTTTGTGACAGACAGTGACAGAAGATAGATGAGTGCATGCCAACACAATAAATATAAGTATCCAGTATGAAATAGATATTGCAACTTTCTTGAGCGTACCAGATACTTCAATCATAGAATCACAGAATGGTTGGTTTGGAAAGGGCCTTAAAGACCATCCAGTTCCAACCCCCCTGCCACAGTCAGGGACACCTTCCACTAGCCCAGGTTGCCCAAAGCCCCGTCCAACCTGGCCTTGAACACTGCCAGGGAGGGGGCAGCCACAGCTTCTCTGGGCAACCTGTGCCAGGGCCTCACCACCCTCACAGGGAAGAATTTCCTTCTTATATCTAACCTAAATCTACCCTCTTTCAGTTTAAAACTGTTACCCCTTGTCCTGTTGCTACACTCTTTGAGGAAGAGTCCCTCCCCATCTTTCCTGTAGCCCCCTTTAAGTACTAGAAGGCTGCTATAAGGTTTCTGTGGAGCCTTCTCCAGGATGAACAACCTCAACCTCTCCTTATAGAGGAGGTGCTTAAGTATTTCAAGAAATGTTGTCAAGGCAACAGAGATCATTGTTCTTCTGGGTCCCTCCAGCAGAAAGGAATCTTTATTTACAAAAAAATTCTCATTTCCCATTGACTCTAGTGAAAAATGTTTTTATCGGGCAATAACAGCGTAGTGAGAGTGAGAACTTTCACATAGACTTTTCACTAAGATGATATCTTCATAGCTTGAAACGAAAAAATTCACTCAACAGTCAGAATCCAATATAACTGTTAAGCAGGTATTCTTTATTAGCAGTGCTGGGGTCACCCTGGGGATTCTCCACCATAAGGGCTCCCATGAACTAGCAAGAGACATCAGTTTACATACACACAAATCATACCTATTCACTGGATTTCCTGGAAAGGGGTGTCTTATCATTGTGAGTTCCCAGAATTCATATACATAAGATGCCCATCTGATCCGAATCCTGCACATTTCTGTGTGGACATGTGTACCTCTACAAATCTAAGTAAACTTCAGCACATATTTAGCTCTTTGGAAGGTACTGGCCTAAATAATTTTGTCTAATGTGGTTATCATACACAATATACAAGTATTCCTCCAGGGCTTAATTCAAAATACGTTAAATCAGTGAGAAGCTTTCCATTGACTTCAGAGAATGGTGGATCATGCCTATATTCATGTATTTCATCTTTGCTTAGCTAAAGTGTTATCAAAACTTCTAAGCAGTATTCTTTTAGTTCTGCAGAAAGAAGACATCAGGGCAGAAACAGGTGGATATTTCACATGAAATCGTAGAGAAAGTCTGAAAATAAGATTCAGGACTTATGATTTTAAATTTTTTTGGCTGTTACTGTTATGAACAGGATTTGATCTCATGATCTAGAGATAGATACCTGTTATCAAATCCTTCAACCTTGCTACTCTACCCATTTATCTTTATAATACTACTTGCCTAATACTTGTTTGCAAATAAAAAGCCATTGTGTGATTTCTCCTGGCTGTGCATAGCTCAAGTTCCTGTTCTGATGGGCTGCTGCCTGCCCTGTGTGTGTTTCCTGTGCACTGTTGAAACCTGCACCCCACCTTGTAAGCAGTGGCATAATGCCATTTTAACAGATGGACCTGAAA